ATATCTCTTTGGTTTTGAGACTTAGTCTTTGCAACTTCAGGGATCTTATCTATGCACAATCAGCTTGTAACACTCCAAAGAGAAAGGAAAACTTGAAATCGCATCATATGACCCCTTTAAGCATTATGCATTTAAAAATAATCAGATTAGCAGGATAAAAATTCTGTCATCCACTAACAACAATCATAGATTGCTCACAGCTATTTAGTTGTGTGCATATGCCTTGAAGGCACAGTATCTACAGTCTTGTAATTCTTGTGCAGAGACAGAGAGAGAGAGCGCGCTGCACATTAGTTCACATTCTTAACAGACTTTGCCCCTGGTGTTCCCATTCATTCAGATCTACCCTGTTCACTGTGGACAGTTTCAGCTGTCTATAGACCTCATTATCTTACAGTATCAAATGTATCAAAATGTACTCTTTTAAAAGCCAGCATCTCCCAGAATTTCACTCTATAAGTACTTCTGAAGCAATTATTGTGTAACATTATTTAAGAATACTGTAAGAATTTCTTCAGTGTATTTAATGACAAACTGAAAAGTCTCTCTTTGTGTTTGTGTGTGTGTGTGTGTGTGTGTGTGCGTGTGCGTGCAGGTTTATCCTCCATGGTGGAGGCTATTTTGACTCGGATCTTAATGAATCCGGTTCTTAAAATCTGTCTGAACGATTTGTTCATTAAATGGACTGAATTGTTCCCGAGTTGGGCGTACTGAACCTATAAGCGTTCGGACATGTCCGGTTCGCATTGATGTGGGTTCACTGGCTAGCTAGCAGTGACGCAAATTACTTCCTCATCACTAATTCAAAAGTCTACAGTCCAGTATTTGGTGGAAGTGGGAGGGGCTTAGAGTAGGAGGCGACAGGTGAATCACCTGTCAACAATTCGACCAACTGGTTTTGCAAGATTGCAGAATGTTTTTAATTGTCAAAAGCAGTTATGTTAGAAAAACAGTAGGCTAATTTGTTTTTATTCTGTTTTTTTTTCTTTTCACAATAAAGCAAATAGATTTTCATGTTGCATACTGACAATGACACTTTTCGTGGCCTAATGGTTAGAGAGTCGGACTCATAATCCAAAGGTTGTGGGTTCGAGTCTCGTACCGGCAGGGATTGTAGGTGGGGGGAGTGAATGTACAGCGCTCTCTTTGTGTGTGTGTGTGTGTGTGTGTGTGCGTGTGCGTGCAGGTTTATCCTCCATGGTGGAGGATAAACTAAGATGCATGTTTCTGATAACTGTCCCATTTCCATGCATTCCTCTTAACTTCTCAACAACACCTTTTTTCAATTTGAATATATATTATATAACCAATGTAATTTTAGTTCCTCTGTCATAATAAATAGCACTTCCATATAGAAACAGATTGCTATATGATATATAACATGATATTAATAGTTGTATTAGTAATAATCAAATTCAATGCTTGTCTTGTTTACGGGGTTTGGTACTGAATACAGTAAAGACATGAAACTGTGTGGTAGAGGCCACAGTGGATATTTAGTCTCTGAGCTGAGGCGATAAATGATGAGGGTGAGGAGGAAGGGCATCGCTGATGGTCAGGGGAAAGTGAATAATACAGCATCTGGAGATCAGCAGAAATTAATGACTGTCCTCCATATGGAGAAACAAGACAGACTTGATGACTTTTATCTGTTTCTCTGTTTTCCTGCTCTCTGATTTTCCTTCCTTCCTGTCTGCCTCTAAATCAGGGGTGTCAATCTCAACACCCTCTCATGGCAATTTGTAACTATTCTGGATAGTTGGGCGAATGGATGGCTAAGTAATTAGTATGAATTTGTACATCTCATTCATATGTATTTGTACGATCTGATTTCGCCCCACTGGCAGATTAGGACTGGACCTTCATGCTTATTATTTTCTAAAAATTGTATGTTTCTGTACAAATTTGTACGAAAACATTGAGACATTGATCTCTTGATATCTGGTTGCATGCAAATAAAAAAAAAAACAAAGTGCAGAATGAGCTTTATGCTTTGTGAAAAATATTGTGGTGAAACAAATGGAAACTTGCATATTACATATAGGGCCTACATAACAAATTTGCAACTTGCCTTATTTTTTAGTATTAAAAATACCTTTGTAGTATTAACCACGCTCAAAATTGTACAGCTTTTTACTTAACAGAGTCAAATTTGTATATAATCTGTCCACCTTATTGCTGTTAGCAACAAATTGGAAAAACAAAGTGGAAAAATGAAATGGCTGGCTCTGGGACAGTTGCATGATGTGTGTTATTAAAAGAATGACAAATCAAGCCAAAGTTAATCTGTCCTGACGTACAAGTAAAATTTTACATGTTGAATATTTCATACTAAGAAACAATATGGACAACATATTGTTGCTTTCTTTTCACCATGTTTTTACTTTTCATTTTACCCTCAAATCATCCCACAGGTCAGATTGGATTTCCCAGTGAGCCATATTCAGCCCACTGGTTATGTCTTTGACACCTCTGGTCTAAATGGAAAAAGCTAGTCGATTCTAAAATGAAAAGAAGAATGTAGTAAAGGGACATTCCTGTCTGGTAAGCTTAAGAACAGGAGAGAAACTCTGCTAGCAGTGCTGAAGCTGAGGTTATGTAATGCCGTCATTCATCATGTTGCTTAGTGAATTGGCAATGGAACTAAGACAGGTTCGTATTAACCTGCTAGACTTGTTTGTCATTCTTGTGTAAGAGAAGGGAGAGGTTTGTCCTCGGAAGGAAGTGACTGGAGACCAGTAATTTATGTCTAAACTCATTCTCACACAAATTATATTAGCTGCTGTTTGACCTTTGGAACAGAAATTAAATATTTTACAATTTACAGGGTTTCAAAGTCTCTGTGCTGTTATGTTTAGCGACTTATATGATGTTCAAACAGTCTGTTGCAGTATGAAAGGGTTAATTGTTGATCCATCACTTGCTTGCAACTAGTTGTGAGGAAGAAAGTCAAACTTAGTCAGTTGAATTTAAATCTGTTAAGAGATTAGTTTCAACTTTCAACTAGAAAATATTTGTTCTAAATATCCTTATCCCCCAGGGTACGTCTCTTACACCTGTTAACCTACAGTGGCTGTACATGTAAAATAAAATACAGCCTGGTGTTCCTGTTGTTCGCATTTCAGCTCAGTAGAATTATCAGTTTACAGCCTGCAGTCCTGGTCAAACAATCATTCATAGGTGCAAATGTCATAAAGCTGCTGTACGAGATCATCTCTGGAACTTTGGACTTGATTTACTCATGCAGACATCATCTGAATTGATAAAGGGTACCTGTGCTGCAGGTGAGCTGTTGAGACTGAAATAACATCCAGTATGAAACACTGTGAATGCCCTTAAAGGAAAAGTACACCCAAAAATGAAAATTCTGTTGTCTTTTACTCACCCTCATGTCATTCCCAACTTGTATGACTGACTTTCTTCTGTGGATGTTTTGAGAAATGTCTCAGTGTTTTTGATTTTGTTGTCCATACAGCGATAGTCAATGGTAACCAAAACTGTTTGGCTAACAACATTCTTCAAAATATTGTCTTTTGTGTTCTGCAGAGGAAATAAATGCATACAGGTCTGGAACAACGTAGGTGTGAGAAAATAATGACAAAATGTTCATTTTTTCTCTTTAAGTCATTGAGTTGAACTTGAGAACCAGAACAGGCAGATTTGTAAATGAATCATTCAGACCAGTTATAACTTCAATGAAATGATTCCTATTGTAAGAATGACTAGTTCACGAATCAGACAACTTCTTTCAATTACAGCTGGTTTCTTACACAAGGTTTCGTATGGCTTTGGAAGACTTAGAATATTGCACAAGTTGCATGAACCACTTTTATGGTGATTTCCATTCATTATAATGCATTACAAAAAAGAGCTACCATCTTTAAAGGGGTCATATGATGCTTTTTTAAAGATCATTATTTTGTGTATTTGGTGTAACAGAATATGTTGACATGCTTTAATGTTCAAAAAACACATTATTTTTCAAATACTGTACATTATTGTAGGTCCTCTATGCCCCGCCTCTCTCAAACGCGTAGTTTTCTACAAAGCCCCTCCTTCTGACAAGCACAGTCTGCTCTGATTGGCCAGCTGACCCAGTGCATTGTGATTGGCCGAACACCGCAAGCACTCGTCGGAAATGTAACGCCCCTTACCATAATCACGAGCTTCATCTTTCAAAATAAATGTAAAGACAGTAAATAATGTAATTAGTTTTACCATCAGTTCAAGCCCGAAAGGGGAACAGACACAGTAATGATGCAGTACACAAGCCAGCTGACTCTACTGTGATGTGACGCTGATGTGACGCTGTCTCTCTCTCTCTCACACACACACACACACACACACA